CTTGGAGCGTATACTATTTACGTTACACCCTATCTAACAACTTTAAGTTTTTAGATGAGTTGGTGATTTAACATGGTATCAGAGCGGATGTTCTATATTTGAATCTTACCACCACCCTTATAAGTATAATACCTAAATGTGATTTAGCCAAGATCTAGCTCGCATGTGAGGGTGCATAATGAAGCATACAATACTTATTTTACACACCCTCTAACAAGGTAAGAGTTTAGATGAGATGGTGATTTCACAGGTTCCATTGCACACAAGTGCCCTGCCAATTCTACAGTTAGGCATGTTAAAAAACTACTTAATCCCACATGGGTACAACTCGCATGGCCTTTAATTTAAGCTTGCTGTAGTCTAAAATAATAGCCAACAATTATAAAACCAGTGTTATTGAAACAGGATGTACTTTTCAGCTCACTGGAAGCCACTCCTAATCCTGCATATATTATATAATGTTATTTTACACCTCCTGGGGTTCTTATTCCCCATATAAAAAGACTAAGTCACCACTTGTTTTGACAATAAAAGTGAAGTGGGTGCCAAAAGGAAAAAGCTTATAATTTCTTATGGGTATCTGCATATCCATTGTATCGTCAGAGATTCATGAGACTGATTATGGCCATGAAAATGCTGTGTATTATGAAGAGACTAATTCCTTTAATGAAACCCAAAGAATTGGCTCAGTTTATTCTCAGCAAGGAAGCAAAGGATCAAACCAAGATGCTGCAATTCTCTACCAGGTATGTTGACAAGTCCTCTCCAAATTGCATAACATTCAGGGTTGTTTTTCATTTTATTGCTTATATCTGATCCTATAAAATTTATTTCTCTTCTGCTAAACGAATTAGTTTTTCTCTGAAAGAATTTAAACTCTTGATGAGTTTTCCAATATAACAGTCCTCTAGGAAACATAACATGAGAATTTGTTTGTTTTGGGATTGAACGGGCTGATCATAAACCAACAATAAGGTCAGATACAAGAAACATGATACATGGTGTTGGATATTTTGATGCATAAATTGGTTTGGATGAAATTAACCTACTGAAACATGGGGTGTGTGCTATGGTTACTAGGCTTCTGAGCTTCTATAAGTACTGAAATAGGATTTGTTCCTTTTGAAAGGGCTGTGGAATGGAAGATGGAACTTTTTGTGGAGTTTTCGATGGGCATGGAAAGAATGGTCACATAGTGAGCAGGTTTGTGAGAAACCACTTGCCTTCGTTGCTCCTGAATCAGAGGAATGATCTTACAAAGAACAATACAGTTGCATCAAATGTTAAGATCAGAAATCGAAATAAAATAGCAGAGGGAGAATTGGTACCACAGAAAAATTTTCATAAACAGAAAGAGGCTTGTATTAGTGCCTTCAAAGTGATAGACAGGAAGATTAAGCATCTGGAGAATTTGGACTGCTCTTGCAGTGGAACCACAGCTGTTGTTGTAGTAAGACAGGTAACAAACAAATCACTTATGGCTGCATATAAATTGAATTATTAGCTTGGTTTCATTTTGAAATTTTATATGGAGGATTTGCATGTTTATTGTAAATAATGTGAAATTAATAAGCAGGGTGAAGATCTTGTTATTGCTAATCTAGGGGATTCAAGAGCAGTTCTGGGGACAGTCAGGGATGATGGAATCATGGCTGTTCAATTGACAACTGATTTAAAGCCTGGCTTGCCCTGTAAGACAACCTTTTTTATTGTCATCTATTACCAGTGAATATCCTAAAACTTTTCTGCTCTTTATGCTCCTAGTTTTAGGCATTCAGAACCAATGTTGTCAGAAGTGTATCGGAAGATGAATCATTTTTCAAAAAAGTATATCGCGTATCATAACGTATCGTGTATTGTAAGATATGTACAATTTCATAAAAAATATTTAAAAATAAATATACTTATGATAAAATGTCATAATAATACCACAAATTTCTCACATAAAACAAAGTAAAGATACTATAGAGACCAAAACAAAAAATTAACAATCTATATTTTGAAGTTTCTATCATCATTCATCTATATCAAAAGTTATAGAGTTCCAAGTCTAACGTCTAAAATAGCCAGAGAAGGACAATTTTAACAATCATACTATCTGCTCCTGCAATGAAACAAATTAAAGAGAAGATTTTTATTTTTTAAAACTATAGATAGTGAAACGATGTTGTTTTATTACCTAATATTTGAAAGAATTACTTTTAAGTGAAAAGGCGGTGTTTTCTAGTTAAAATTCGAAGAAATTTTTTTAATCTATTTCATCCCATATCGTACATATCGTCTTGTATCGGGTGTATTGTATCATGTATCGCACGATACGGTACAAACTAATACACTTAAGCGACACTTATCATTTTATTCATGTGTTAAAACGTATAGTATCGTGTATCATACAATACTAACAACTATGATTGTGAGTACTGCCCAAATCCTATCCAGTCATATTTACTGCTAAACTGTAGGAAATCTAGTGTCTTCTTCCTCCCTCTTACTCAATTTTGGCCTAGTACCAGTCCTCATAGTACCTGTAACTTCAACTATTTCAAGCTATATCACCTTTGCTAAGTTTGAAAGCTTCCTTTTCAATCAATCCATGTTTTTTTTGTCCTTCCCTCGTTTATAAATTGGTTCTATCCTAGTGAGTGATGATGGTTTATCAATGGTCATGCAGCGGAAGCAGATAGAATAAGAAAGTGCAATGGTCGAGTAGGTGCACTGAAAGAAGAACCACACGTTCAGCGAGTGTGGTTGCCACATGATGACACTCCAGGCCTGGCCATGTCGCGTGCATTTGGAGACTTCCTACTCAAAAATCATGGCCTAATTGCCCTCCCTGATGTCTCCTTTCACCGTCTTACGCCCAACGACAAGTTTCTTGTACTTGCCACTGATGGGGTAAAGACCAATTTTATCAAACAACGGAGTGCTGATGCTTCATCTTGCACAACATTTCGAGACCCAAAATAATCTTAAAAATACAAAAACCGAGTACTGATGCTTCTGATGTTGGTGTTGCAGGTGTGGGATGTGCTTAAAAATGATCATGTTATATGGATTGTGCACTCAGCAGAGAATGAAGAGGCAGCAGCAAAAGCAGTGGTAGAAGCAGCTGTTGCTGCATGGAAACAGAAGTACCCTTCTTCAAGAAGAGATGACTGCACTGTTCTCTGCCTCTTTTTGCAAAAGAGGATCCAACAACATTGTTTGCCCCTTAAAACTTGAGCTTTTAACGCTTCATCTTCCAGGTTGAGCATTACACCTTTATCATAGAGGATCTTGAAGCAACTTGAATGGCCGCGACACTATGTGCTCTTTGCAGTTAGTTTGCTTGACCAGTGCCTATGGGGAGAGACTGAAGGGAAGAGTAAATATGTTTCTTGTTCTACCATGATTGCCCGATTGTTCCATTCAACAAATAGAATCCTGTGTTTATCATATTGGGCTGATGTTATTGCTCTGAAAGCTCTCCAATTTTCTGTACCATTGTGTTACATGGTGTGCCTGGGGTTTGTCAGAGTTCTAGTTATAGTTTCCTATTGAAAGTCTCAAGAAAATCAACAATGTGATGAGAGATGAGAAAGGTATTGGGTGCTATTTACTACTGGAAATTGCCCAAATAAGAAAGGATTGGTTTGCTAATCTCTCACTAGAAAGTTACCACAAGGTTCAGCAATCAGAATTTATACAATACGTTTTTAGTGGCATAATAATGCCTACCACCATCTCCAAGCATCTTACTCTCTCCTTCCCATTGTTAGATTGAATCTCTCCAGAGAAAAAAATGGCATGCCTTTAGATTGATCGTGCAGAAATTTGACAGTCCACAGGTGGGAAGCAGCCTTAAATCTTTTTTTTTTTTTTTTGTCTAATGCACTAATTTTTCTTGCTGATATGAGCAAAGGAGTTGGTGATCTCCACTCTGTCATTCAATATTTGCAGTTAAAAATTGGAAAGAGAAAGGTGGCACCTTTCAATACTTTCAAAAAAATATCAAAAGATGCCTCCATAGTAGGCCATTTGAGGCATATGGGGTAAAAACAGATCAATCTACAGCTATACATATTTTCAAAGAATCTCAATCTACAATCCTGTTTATGTCAATCCAACCAGCACATCTGCAACAACAAATGCTTTAAAATTTGTAAGGTTTGACTTCTCATACTTTGATCTAAAATCAAATACCAAACTAGTGTTATAATAATTTAAGTTTTATGGATCAGTCTCTTCGAATTCTATATGCCAGGCAATCAGGAGGACATTATGCCTCCAAAATAACAACATTTCTTCTCTCCTTTCCGTGTTCTTGTCCACGAAACAATGCAGTCACAGTAAGAATTGGTGTACTATGGACAGAAAGAAATGGAAAACTTAGTATTCACTCGGGAATCGAAAAACAAAATCCTCAATAGAAGTGAATATCAAACAAATCAATTACCAGTACCATCCAGCAAAAAACCTCTTTGTTTCTATTTTTCTAGTGCCAGAATATAAACAGCACTCTTCCTCTCTTCAAATATGTATTCTTTTGCCTCGATAAATTTATCCCTTTCTCAATTTGGGCCTCTGAAAAAGAATGCCATGGAAGATTTACAACTCGAAAAGAAACTCACTGACGCGAGCCATTGAAGCATGCAGCTCATTCAAAAATCAAGTTTGTTCCTCAATTGGATCCTTCTGTTCAAGCAGGTCATCATAAGTAACAGGCACCCGTATTCTATCATGAACAGAGGTGCGTTTCTGCTCAGTATCTGGCTGCCCATGTTGGTTTTGCAAACAAGGCAAATGCTGTGAACCATCTAAAATGCTAGTTGACTTTTTATCTGTAATCACATGAGCAAGTTTTTGAGAAGACGATTCTTTGATCTCCACTGGTGCTTGCTTGATGTTTTGGTGATAGAATTGCTTCTGCAACATGATAAATAATACAACGCGCATCAATTATTGCCCAAGTCAAAGAATATGTAACACCATAAAGTTAAATAAGAAGCATCGTTCAGTTGAAGAAGGAGGACGATTGACAATCCATGGTGGCCAAAAAAGACATTGGATAAAGGAGATGTGTGAGACATGCTAGACATGGTAACCTATAGCTTATCTATAGCCGTCTATGAAGCACGGATACTTGCTGGAGGGGTGCCATAGCAATGCACCACCTGCGTTGCACGTGAATAAATTTTCGTACATAAAATTTAATATAAAGTTTTAATTTATATGTGTACCTAAATTAAATATCATCTCAAGTTTATAAAAATTATATTTTATCTCTCATATTATATTATAGAATTTAAAAATTCTTATCTGACCCAATGATTTGCTGTTCTAACTATAAAAAAAAAAGATAAAAATAATTCATTTTGAAATTCATTTGATTAGGTTTCAACTTATAATTAATTGAATAAAATAACAATAATTATCAACATTCTAATCAATGCTTATTTTTAAGGATAACATAGTCAATTAAAAAGTTTCATACATATTGATATTTATACATAAAGAATAGAGAATTAAAAGAGATTTTAGGAATAATTTGGAGATTTAAACAATAAGGATATCAAGGTAATTTAGCTATTTAACTATGGAAGGATAATGTGACATTTAAAATTCTTTATAATGGTAAAATAATGAATCAAAATTTTTTTATGCTAAGATACTTTTATTAGTAGTATATAGAGATAGATATAGATATGTTAATTTATATATTTTTTTTGTCTACAAGTGCATTGCACATGGATCATTTTCAATATCAAATATATTATTGCTATAAAAATATGAAATAACATCAACTGTACAAATAAACTCTACTTAAACATTTTGTGTATTATCTAGTGAAAATTAAGTTATGGACAAATTTAGCCACATAATAACATGTAAAATTAGAGTTTCAATAGTCTACTCCAAATTTAATATCCGTCGTTTTTTAAAAAAATAACAAACAAATGGATGCTTATATTATGATAAGCTTAAGACAGTCTACCTCAAAATTCACTATCATATTTTTGATGACAAAAACAAATAACTGGCAAACACTAATTGCTTCATTATTTACTAAAAGACAAATATTAAATTACACTTCAAAAGATATGTCACATATGTTTCATAAACATCATAGAAAAAGAATTACCCACAAAAATCTATAATGAACATACTAAAATATGTTTTACCACATTCAAATGGGAAAATACATGTTGTCAAAACTTAGTATTTGGTACCTTATGTCCTAGAGCAATTCAAAAAACCTAGTCAAATCATGATCCACATGATCGAAGATCTCGTTTCAATTATTTAATGCCTGAGAAGAATCACATTATTTTTTTTACCCACGAGATATAATGCTAAATACACTCTTATCTGTATTCATGCTTTCCAGATAGCCGTGAATGAAGCAAAAAGGAAATCTAGTTACCCAATCTCAAATATGAGTCAAGGCATTGAGGATGAAATACAATAATTAGTGTATGGAGAATAAATGAATAGGCTAACAACATAGTAGAAAAAAGACATTTCCATTGAGGGACCTCTTGCAGTCTTGCTTATCAATATCTCATAACGTGTGACATAGGCCAACAGGAACCTTCTTAGAAGACTCAAATTGATCTTTCATATATTTCATGTATGCTCTTAATTAAACATGAAATAGAATTAACAAAAGACTGTTGAAGTTAATAAATACTTAAATTACACTTCTTTAACAACTTAATCTTTTAGATGAGTTTTTTGTATAATATCATCTGAGAGCACAAGGTCCTACACTCGAAACTCGGCGTCACTTCTTACATACTTAAAGATTTCCACGTGCTTGCCCTAAATTTGAGTCCGCCCCTAAAGAGGTTTGTTGAAATTTATAAATATTTAAGTTACACCCTCCTCAATAGCTAAAAGTTTTAGATGCATTGGTTGCTTAATAAAGAAATCCACATAAAAGACACAAATTCGTATTTTTGTCCCTATTTATCACTCTATGACATGGATGCCACATGCAATCAAATGATTGGGGACCTAACGCAAATCTCAATTCTAATGAGTGAGAAAATTGATTTCCTTTTGTTAGTGAGTTAGGGGCAATAGGGTCATTACCCTATTTCATATGTGTAACTATATAACTCTCTGATCAATTGATGTTTGAGTTTTTCTCTTCCTATTCAATTACGTCTCTCTCTCTCTGTCTCTCTCTCAATATACTGTTAACATGCTATCAGAGCCATGCATTGTACGTAGCCGTCGAGAAGGAAATCGTCATTGCTGAGTCTCTGTTCATCGTCGAAGTGAAGTCGTTGTTTGACGACCACCTTTGAGTTGCTGGTGTTGTTCATTGTCGGGGTAGAGTGAACAACCACTATTGGGTTGTTGTTGTTGATGATCGATTGCTGTTGTTGATCATTGGAGTTGATAATCGATTGCTTCAGCTATCATTGATGATCGAATGTTGTTGTTGATAGGTGGAGTAAAGTCAATTGGCTAGGTTGTGATTGCCATTGTTGCCGTTTCATTGCTGAGAGGCTGGTAAGGTTCCGTTCGGCGTCGACAGCAGGGTTGAAGACAAGATCAGAGTTCAATCGGGTCGGATTTTGATGTTATTAAGCCCAAGTTCCTTTAAATCTGAGTCTTCAAGTCCTAGTTGAAGCCCTGGCCGGTCAAAGCCCAAGTCCAGCTCTTGTCCAGTCTGGTTCAGACATAAACTGGTCTGGTTCAGTTCATCTCAGGCCGGTTCAGACACATTCCAGGCCAGTTCAGCACTACTCCAGACCGGTTCAGACCTATTCGGCTTTGTTCAGGAGTCCTTTGCTTCAGTGCTACCCAGTTAAGTCCTATTCTGCTTCATTGCTGCCCAGGCTAGTCCAGTCTTATTGCTGCTTATTGCTTCTGCTACGTAACACCGGTTTCTTCTACTTTAATATATTTTTTTCTATTGGATTTATGGAGAAAATAAGTCTAACCCTACTGTTGTTGAGTCAGTTGTGAGTCAGGGTTTTACTGGCCCATCTATTACCTCTATTAAGCTGAATGGCATTAACTACGTGTCATGGTCTCGTTCTGTTGAAGTTTTTTTGACTGCAAAAAATAAAGTCAAATAATCTGATGCCAATCTTAAGCAGTGGAAGATGGAGAATGCACAAGTGATGACTTTATTATATAATAGTATAGAACCTCAGAGTAGCATTCACCTCATGTCTCTTGAAACTCCTAAGAAGGTATAACTTGCAGTTAGTCAATTATTTTCAAGAGAGGATAATATTACTAGAATTTATCAATCGTTTCAAGATTTGTTCAGTTTGGAGCAGGGTGATAAAAGTATTGCATAGTACTATTCTGCTCTTCAAAATGTTATGAACAATCTTAATGCTTATCAGCCCCTTTACTGATCAGACAGTCTAGAAAAAACAACGCGAGGAGTTGATGGTTGCTCGAATCCTAAAATCAGAACTAAAACCTGTTCATGCCCAGATGTTGTCTTATAAGGAAATTCCTTCCATACCAGAAGTTTTTTCTCGTATTCAACTGGTTTTTTTCAGTGATGGTGGTATTTCCATACCTGACCGCATGGCTTTAGTCGAACTACCTAATCATGGCAATAACAATTTTTCTCGTAATACTTTTTTCCGTGGTGGAAGAAGAAATTGGGGTGGTTGGCGAGGAGGTGGTCGGTGGGTAGTGGATAGTCGTGGTGGTAGAGGTAGTGGATCCATAAAACTATGTACTCATTGTGGACTTAAAGGTCACACTATGGGTTACTGTTGGGATCTCCATGGCAAACCCTCATCTTATTCTCATGTTGTATCTTCATCAGTTGAGTTAGGTTTAGGACAATCTGGTATTAGTGAACCTTCATCTGCCTCAAAGATTATATCTATGTCTAAGGAGGAGTATAATCGACTTGTTTCCAAGTCTGGGGCTTCTACATTTACTTCTACTTCCACAGCCACTTTGTCCCCGGTACAGCATGTTTGTTGTCCAATTCATCTGCATCGTCTCCATGGCCTCTGACCATATGATTGGTAATGAGAGCGCATTCTCAAGTTTTCATAATATTTCAACTCACCAATTTGTTACCCTAGCTGATGGTTCTTCATCCTCAGTCTCTAGTGTTGGCACTGTGAATCCTACTCCATCATTGTTTTTATCCTCATTTTTACACGTTCCTAAATTTTCATTCAATCTGTTATCAGTGAGCCAACTCACTAAGTCTTTGAATTGTTCAGTTACATTTTATCTAGAGGTCTTCTTATCCGATACTTCGCAGAAGGCCAATTTCTTGGTCAACCCTACCGAATCAAGGGTAATATTTCAGTCAAATTTCGTCCAAAACAATCAGGTAGGAAATCGGGTAAACACAGAAAAAAAATAAAAATAAAAAACAACTATTACACAATCACAAGAAGAGAAAGGAGCAAATAACATCAAATTGAAAAGTAAAACTTTGAAATAATGAAAATACCTATAAGTCAAAAAAGGGGCAAAATAAGGCAATCAAAACTAAGAGCAAGGTAAACAAGCAGATCTGAGTTAGTGAACTCATAACAAGGAGTTAATCGCTACTTGAAACACTTACTATTTGAAGATCCAAGACATCAACATCAGTGAACTAACAGTAGAAACGAAAGATATCTATACACATTTATATAGTAAATAAACATACATATACAAGAAAAACAGAGCTATGTAGTTTCGTGAAGGATAGATCTAAGGATCTTACTAGTTTTTGGGCTCTTCGACCATGGACGCATTCTGATAGGAAGGCTGACTTACTATACAAATCAGAGAGAGATAGAGATAGAGACAGAGAGAGAAAGAGAAAACTTGGAATTCTTGTGGCTTCACTGGCTTGTGACTTCGAGTTCAATTGATGCAGAGTCAGAGAGAGGCGAGAGTTTCTGAGACTCGAAGAGAAGGCGATCGATCGATGGAGTCTTGGAGCTACTGACTCAGTCTTGAGAGAA